TTAGAAAATATCTATGTTGTACATAAACGTAGGGTTTAGGTGATCTTCTGGCACATTTGGTAGTGTCCCTACTTCTGAACCACAAGGCCTGGTTCAAATCCCACCTGTTTCAAAGGTATGTCATAACATATCCCAACAGGTTGATCAATAAATATCAAAAGAAAAAAGGCAACAGATTTTTTAAAAAACTAAACATAGGGCTGCTGTGGTACAGTGGCAGTATCTCTACCTCTGAGCCAGGGGACCCAGGTTGAAGTCCCACCTGTTCCAGAGGTGTGTAATAACATCTTTGGACAGGTTGATTTTAAAAATATATAGTAAATAAAGACAATGCTCTTATGCCCTAGATTTCTGCAATCATTAAAGTTGTGTTTTTGAGAGATTCTTGGGTTACCCATGTTTTGGTGTAAATAGAAAGTTCCAGCCCGCACTGCTATATTAGACACTGCAGAAGACATGTACTCCCACAACGAATGACACTGACACTGTTTCAGTGACCCAAAAAATGCTTGTAGCCAAAACAGCCTGAGATATTGTACCCCTATACCTGGCAAATACACTGACTGTTATTATGAGACATTATCTTCATTCTCAACCTAATTCTAGAAAAAAATTAGGTAGCTGAAATGGAGGTCTGTGGGTTGAGACTTTTAATGGACAGCTTTCTGAAAGCAGAACTAAAATAATGATTTATTATTGTCACATGTACCGAGAAAGCGAAAAGTATTGTTTTGCGTGCTAACCAGACAAATCATACCTTACATAACTACATCAGAGTAACAGAACAGAATGCAGGATATAATGTTACAGCTACAGAGAAGACGCAGGGAAAGATGAATTCTAATATGAGGGGTCCGTTCATACGTCTGATAACATTGGGGAAGAAGGTGTTTTTAAATCTGTTGGTACATATTTTCAGACTCTTGTATTCTGGCTGATGGAAGGGAGTATAACCTGGGAGGATCTTTGATTATATCGGCTGCTTTCCCGAGGCAGTGGAAAGTGTAGACTGAGTCAATGGTTGGAAGGCTGGGTTTCGTAATGGACTGGGCTGCATTCACAACTCTCTGTAATTTCTTGCAGTTTTGGGCAGTGCAGTTGCCATATCAAGCTGTGATGCATCAGGATAGAATGTTTTCTATAGTGCATCTATAAAAGAGTCATTGTGGACATGTTGAATTTCCTTAGCCTTCTGAGGAAGTTGAGGCTTTCTTGACTGTAGTATTGAAGGGGATGGATTGGGATAGATTGTTGGTGATATTTATTGCTAGGAACTTGAACCTCTTGACCATCTCCACCTTAGGACCATTGATGATGAGCGCCTTCATTTTGCTACATTTGTAGGTGGGGTGGGGGGAAAGGAGGAGATTGTTTTCTTTACACCATGCCACTAAGTGTTCTTTTTCCTGTACTGTCATTGTTTGCGATCTGACCCACTCCAGTGGTGTCATCACAAATTTCTAAATGAATTAGAGCAGAATTTGGCTACAGTTTGTGTGTATGTGTGTAAATAGTAAGGGGCTAAGTACGCAGTTTTGCAGGGGATTGGTGTTGAGGATTATTGTGGAGGTGTTGTTGCTTATCCTTACTAATTGTGGTCTATGGATTAGGAAGTCAAGGATCCAGTTGCAGGGCGGGGGAAAGCAGAGTCCTGGTTCTTGGAATTTGGAAGCGTTTTGTTAGAATTATGGTGTTGAAGGCAAAGCTAAAGTCAATAAATAGGACTCTGACCTAGGTGTCCTTGCTGTCCAGATGTTCTAGGGATGAGTGTAGGGCCAGGGAGATGGTGTCTGCTGTGGGCATATTGTGGTGGTAACTGAATTGTAATGGATCAAGGCAATCCTGGAGGCTGGTGTTGGCATGTGTCATTACTAACCTCTTAAAGCACTTCATAATGATGGATGTCAGAGCCACCAGGTGGTAGTTATTGACTAGTTATCGTCAATAACTTTTGGTTTATTTAAGTGAGACTCTGTTTTTGATTTGGTAATCAAATTTTTGAAGATCTTAGCTAGCCGGACATATTTATAACCAGAAATAGGTTTCAGGAAATGAACATGCTTCTTCAGCTAGCATTCTCAGCACTCAGCTTTACCTTTTCAAACCAAGCACTGTATTGCAGCTTGATACAATTCTACCTTGGAAGAATTCAATGATTGATTTACTTGGCTTTGAAAGTCTAACATTTCAGATTAGACAACCTAAGTAAATTTTGGCTATAGTTTGTCTGGCAAAGCACCAGGTCTGTGAAAGAGTTTACAGTGAGCACTTAGGGAACTTGATTTGCAACACATTATTCGGGAACCTTTGTACTTCTACATTAGAGACTGTGTTATACATAAGGGAATGCAATATAATTGTAATCAGTCCTTGACTCTGTTATTCCAATTATGATTTAGGGCTTTAGGCCTTTACAAAAAGTTTTTTCAGTTCAGAATGAGTGATTAAAAATGAACTATGCATTCCTTCTTGTAAATCAACAGATATGACAGAAGTTATTGCTATTGATGATATTAGTTATGTGATCAATGCTTGTACTTTTTTCTTTCTCACTAAAGAATTTACCTTTGTTTTCTTACTCCTTTTAGTAATTAAGTTGATTTATAAAATATCTTGGATGGAAAAACGTTTTAGTTAGAGTTGATATTATATACCCTCACCGATTTATTTTTGGCAGGAGAAGCATGTAAAATAGGCTGGGACATTAGTCCACATCATCTTACCCACCCCCGTAAGAGGGCAAGTAGGTGCCAAAATTGGCATTTCACCCACCATATGTAAATAAGGTTCAATTCAGCATGTTAAAAGCTCAGTCTCAATATTACACAGCACACACCATAGAATGTTTGGTATGGGCTGGAGTGGGCATTCTGTTTTAATTGAAAGTTTTAAAAATAGCAGCAAAGAAGGGTGAACTATCTTTGTGCAGTCGGTGGGGGAGGGAGGTTCCTTTTGCTCATTGGTGGCACCTCACTAGAAGATAGTACACCCTTTCCTTCCTGCTCTCCCATTCAAAACCCACACCCCTACAAACTCTGTACCCTCCATAAGGTTCCAAAGAGATCCCTTGACTGACCCTCACTCTGGAAACTATCCGAACGTATTTCTAGGCCTGCCTATATACCTGTCAGTCCCCAGTCAGACTACCCAGCAGCTCCAGAGAGTGAGAAACCTTTATCTCAGTGAGGGGTACAGCTCCCAGTATCTATAAATTTAGTTCATTCAACTGCAACAAATTGTCAGTAGGACTGACCTGCTGACTTGAGAGTTGAGCTATCTGCCCTCCCCAGAATTTTCTACCCAAAGATTTTGCTGGAAGATCTCCACTTTAGTTACATTTAAGCTGCTCCTTTGCTTAACATCAACTTTGGTTAGTGTACTTTACCAAATGTATCCATTAACTCTATTAAATAAATAAAAATATGCCAAATTATGTTGAGAACATTGAGACCAATTTGTGCTAATTCTTCACTAGTGCACAGCTTGCTGCTTACATATGCTTTAGACATATAAATCAGCATAATACACACACTAGAGATAGCAAAGCACCTGAGAAAACTGCTCTATAATCTATTCATGTTCTATTCTTAGTCTATAGCCCAATTCTGGCACCTTGAATATAATGAAAATTATGTCACAAAATTTATGGCTTGTGACATACTTTGGGCAAAGAAAAATATAAGGATTCAACTTCACAAAAAATATAATCTATTTTCTTCTAGGAATGTGAATGTTAACACAACCAGAATTGGTCTAAATACTATTTGGACAACAAAGTTTTTTTTAAAAATATAAATCATGACCATTATGTCCATAATACTATCATGTGGCATAGCAAAGACATCTTCTCACCTTCCAGTCAGCTCTTCTAGTACTTGGAAATCTTCGATACAGCAGGTAGGACATTGGTTCTGAGGTGATTGTAATAAGTTACAGCTTTTATGGCATCTAGGATCACTATCCAGAATTGTTCAAAGGAAGTGTATAGAATGTTGATACATTGTGCTTCAATGTTTAACCAAACTCCTGAGGACATAGATGTTATGAAAAGAATGAGAATTATGAAATTGTGTCCAAATGAAGACTGACCATAGTTCCTGGGGTGAGGCAAGCAGGCACTTAATGATACTGAAGGATATCAGGACTAACCAACCTTCAGTTCTGAAAAAAGGCATAGCTTACTGCACTATAGTGGGTAAGAGACAAGGATTGAACAAGTCTATATGCCTATTTCCCCTGATATTGGGTACAACTGGAAAGTGATCTTGTGCTGGGATAGTGTTGAGACTACTGACCATGGCTGCAGTCCCAAATTGTGGACAGGTTTTGACCTGCTTCTCAGCAAGGACTTTGCAGGATCAAACGTCGTATCCCCAGTGGTCTTCGAGAAACCTGTTGAAGTCTGAATGAGTGAACAGTTGCAGGAGAAAATAAGAACTTCTTGATAGCAGCAAGACAAACTGATCCACTGTTTAAAAACAGCAGCTCAGTGTGAATGCTACTACAGTAAAAAAAAAGGTACTGACGGGGAAAATGAAGACCACTCCCCCCACCTCAGAGTTGCAAATGAGTGGGCAGTGATCCCCAGGCAGTGGTGCTGTCAGGATACCACAGGGAAATATTGCAGCTAGATAATGAAATTCTAATGGCTGGACATGTTGTTATATGCAAAATTAAAGTCCACATTAGGCATGTTTTACCAGCCACAACTCTAGAAGAAGAAGTAAGGAGTTCTACGATCACGCCTTCTATGATTCTGAGTGGAACCATAACAAATTAGGGAACAATGAAGTCTAATCATAACAAAGGTACAGCATGGTCCTGTATAGATTCCACGTAGAATTTAGGAAGTATCAATGTTCTCACACCATTCTTTTACAGAGTTGCATTCAAGACAGAAACTATTACCTGGAATTTGCTTTAAAAAGATAGTCGTTTATTACCATTTATAAGGCAAGGGAGTCATTGACTTAACATCTATAAATAAATTAAGCAGCAAACAAAATTAGATAAGATTTTATTTGGCTGTCAAAATAATCATTCACTACAAAAATTGGCTGACAAAGAATCAGCTATGTAGCTCAATTTGCTAATGTGCAAGAACCACATTCTGAAGTTCTTTGGCAAGACACCTTTTCCATTATTGAACATTCACAAGATGCAATTTATAGTATAAGGTACCATCAATATCAATATAGAAAAAAATTAAAGAATTTTCATAATCAAAGCAACAGGAATTCAGAGACATTTGTCAGGCATTCCTTTAGACTCTAGAACAGGCTAAGCAGTTCAAGTGAGGTTTCTAAAACCTTTTAAAATTTAGCTAAGTCAGACTTCAAAAGTATCCTTTTTTTCTAAAGGGAGTTATTAATGATTTCTCTACTGCAGTAGAGAAGCTTAATTTGTTACAAACCAGGCTATTGGTCCTGGGTAGCTGAAGGAGATTCTGCATAATGTGGAACGGGCATTAATAAAATTAGCTTGCAAGCTAAATGCAAATTCAGCCTTTGAGAGGGTACCGTAACTGTAGCAGACCAAGACTATTCTATGGAGATTTTTCTTTAAAGGCTCAGTTTTAAATAATAAATACCCTAGTACCAATTGAAACCCTTCATAGAACAGAGGCCATATATAAATATATATATATATATAAAATGCAGTGACTTATTCATTATTAATCACAAGTATAAGATACAGTAACAGATGTTATGGAAGTTATGAAGGTCTTCACCACAAATTAAAGCAGGTAACTTGACCCATCACTGAACATGATATTTTAATTATTATACAGGCTGGGTTTAAAAAAAATTGTCACTGGATTATCACCTAACATGATGTTCAATTATTTTAATGTGATATATTAACATTTAGATCTATAAAAATTCAACCATACCCAGTGAACAAAACCTATTCACCTGAAAAAATAAACCAGCTTCTATAATAATGCAGATAATGATTTAAATACTAAAACTGTAAAATAGTTTAAAAATATTTCCTTTGAAAGAAATTTTTAAATAATAATTTAAAATATGTTTGCCTCTAACTGTTGAACAATGTACCAATGGTCCTAAATGCATGTTGTCGCACAGTTTAATTGCTGTAAAAAGACGACTTCTAAAAGGATCCTCATTCTGCTGCATTTTTCATTTTAGAGCCCATTTGCAGTCAATTCTTGGACCCCATTCTCATCTATAATCAGCGGAGGCCGGAACTCACGTCCTGCAACATATTTATCCAGATCCTGCAACACAAATTACAATTTCAATTCTAGCAATGGAACTATGTAATTACAGGAACAGCAAGAGAATAGTGCCATTCATAAAATTAAAATTATTCTCAGGGTGGTGTTGTCGGTTAGAATTGTCTGCCATTTTTGGGTTGAAGTCTTCCCCTCTATCCACCATTTAGAAGAATCCCACATGTAATGAATATTACTGGGATCAAGCCTCTAGCAGAGGTGAACCTACAGCACTTCTATAGTTTAGAATCTCATTAAAATAGGTCAGAGGAGGAGCTGGGCTGTAAACAATTGTACCGGAGGGTATTCTTTTGATTTTGCAGTTAAAAGATATATCACCAGGTCTGGCAGCATTTATGGAGACAGAAACAGTTAACATTTCAAGTTCAAAGACTTCTTTGGAACTCTATATTCAGTTCTGAACAGGCATATTTCGACTTGAAATATTAACTTTGTTCCTTTCTCCATAGATATTGCCTGAATAGCTAAGTTTCTCCAGCATTTTTTTATTTAGATTCCCAGAATTCATAATTTTTTTTTAGTAAAAGCAAAATATTAATATGTTTAATTGAACTGGCTTAAATGCAAAGGGTTGATAATTTTGCCACATGATAAAGTAACTTCCACCTTTTAGATGCAGCAGGTTAGAAGAAAGCAGGATTTTTTTTCTCCTAAGCATTATGTTGATTTGGAATGCTCTAACACAGATACAGGCAAACTAAAACATTTCTTTCATTAAGTTTCAGTGCTTTTTAATGTAAAATATTGCATTTGCGTTCTATATTCACTTGATAACACAGGCTTGAGTACTACTGAAGAGGGACATGCTGTTGAAACTTTTCATCATGCATCATAGGACAGTGTAAAGTGCTGCATTCCTCTGAAATTTGCATTATTGCACCTGTATTAATGAACGCAAGATGAAAAGCTTTGACACTGTCTCTTTGCTCAACAATATCCTCTACTCTGCACTTGGTACTTACCTCTGTTGGATTTTCAGATCTGTCCAACTAATTATTGTGAAAGGTAGGAAATTCTGGAGTGTTTTTGTACCTTCTATACCTTGAGAGAATCTTTGAACTCTTGGGACGGAATCTTTCAGGGTCTGAGCGATGTGGCTTATAGTGAGACGTGTCAGAGTTGGGTGACAGAAGCAGCAAGGCCCTTCTCACCATTAAAATCATCACACTCCATTTTTTTTTAAATGTCATGGCAAGATTCTCACTAGGCAATGGGGAGATGCCAAATGACATGCATTATTGCTTGTTAAATGCCTTTTTAATACCACCACTCATTTAATAACACACTCCCAAATTACCAAGCTTCCCAATAAGCTAAACACGAGAAAATCCGACAAGGAAACCAAAGTGTGTACTTGGAGGATCCAGATCGTTGTTTGCTCCAAGCATCCTCTGTGTTGGAAACTAGGCACCAACATCAAGGCACTGCCACACATGCCTCAATGGCCACAGATATAGACATAAGATTGATGCCAGCCTTTAAGAAATCTCATGACACATCACTTTACATTTACATTTACAATCGTTTCTATACTTCAGTGCCATATTGCAGGGTGTAGTGCCAACTAGCATTGTAATAATGCAGCCAGGACACACTGTTCAGGGACATGCACCCAATTAATAGATTGGACTAAATTACATTTCTGATCTCTTATCTTACTGTTACGGCATTACTCACTGAGTCTACTTGGACAGTCACAGCATCCCTGCCTTGCATTTTTTTTTCCACTCAGCCAGAGACACCAGCTTCACATTATTGCTCTGTTGCCTTGTTGTTTAGTGCAGCCAGTCAGGAAGCTTGTCTTAATTGTTTGCAGGTCTTGGTCAACTAACTGCTCAGGACTAAGGAGCAAAGGATAGACAACAGACCACACAATCTTTCTGCGCTTGTGGTCTGTTTCTCTTCCACAGTGAGAGAGAGCGAGAGAGAGGTATTCTGGGAGATGGTGGGGGGGCGCGGTCAAGGCTATTACTTTTGGTTCAGGTGGGCAAGTGTGCCAAGCAAGTGACTAGGCTGTGCAAGGGTTATGCAGAGTTAGTGGTACTGGTAGTTAGGGTGGGTCAGTGCAAATAGGGAAATGTTGCAAACAGTAATCAGTGGGAGATGGGTACAGTCACAGGTAGTGTGTAAGGTATCAGAGAAGATAGTGGACCTTACAATGATGGAGTAGGGAAGGACATTACCCTTCTTCCTTCAGTTGTGCTAGGCTCCCCCATCATTGAGGATGGGGATATTTGTGGAGCCTGATCCTCCAGTGTATTGTTTGCTTGTCCATCACCATTTATGACTGGATATGTAGAGCTTGTATCAGATCCGTTGGTTGTGGGATCACGCAGCTCTATCACTTGCTGCTTATGCTGTTTGGCATGCAAGTAGTTCTGAGTTGTAGTTTCGCTGGAGTCGAAATCACATCTTTAGGTACGCTTATGTGCTGTTCCTGGCTTGCCCTCCTGCACTTTTCATTCAGCAGTATTGATCCCCCTAGCATGATGTGTTAATGGCAGTGTGGGGGATATGTCAGAGCATAAGGTTGCAGAATGTTTTGGAGTACAATTTTTGCTGCTGCTGCTGAGGTTTCAAGGATGCCCAGTCTTGGGCTTCTAGGTCTATTCGAAATTTATCCCATTTAGCACAGGGATAATGCGACACAGTTTTGTGCTAGGTATTCTCAACGTGAAAGTGGGACTTGGTCTCCACAAGGACTGCGCAGTGGCTCCGATTACATAAATATCTGAAATAGTATTACCACTATTTGCAGGTAAAATGGAGGCATTATGACAACAGCATAATAAAGCATCCCAAGGAACTTCACAGATCTGTAAAACAACAGGACATTGTGACTGAGATATTAGATGGCCGTATCCTTGGTTAGAGAGTAGGTTTTAAGAAGTGTCTTAAAAGGGACAAACATAGAAGAAGTGAGAGGGTAGGGAGGGAATTCCACAGCTTAGAACTTGGAAAACTGAAAATGTAGTCTCTAATGGCAAAGCAATTGAAAATTAGCACTGCTCAAGAGTTGAGAATCTGCTAAATGCAGTACCTTGAAGGGTTGGCATGTTTAGACATAGGGACAGCTGAGCTTGTGTAGAAGGGTTTGAAAACAAGAATGAGAATTTTAAAATCAAGGTGTTGCTTGACCAGGAGCCAATTTAGGTCATTAAGTGCAGGGATACAAGGGGTTTGGTGAGAATTAGAACAAATGCAGCAGAAGTTTAATGATGTCACGATTAGAAAGAGGAGAATGTTGGAGACTAGCCAGAATGTATTGCAAAATTCAAATCAAGAGATAACAAAGGCACGAATGAAAGTTTAAACAGATGTGCTGAAGCAGGGGTGAGGTCAGCGATTTTATGGAGAAAGGTGACTTAGTTATTGCATGACTATGTTGTTGGAAATTCACTTGCAATCAAGATGGCACCAAAGTAGTGAAGTATCCGGTTTCATTTCAGATAGTTGACAGGGAGGGGAATAAAATCTGTAGTTCATGGATGAAGTTTTATTGCATCTTTGTGGAATGAATTGCCAGAGGAAGTGGTAGATGCAGGTACACATACAACATTTCAACACATTTTAGATAGGTACATGAATTGGAAAAGTTGAAGAGGGATACGTGCCAACTTTAGTTTGGGGAAACTTGGTTGGAATGGGTGAGTTGGACCAAAGAGTCTGTTTCCATGTTGTACGACTGACTCTATACTGGTTAGAGATTATTGGGCAATTAGTTTATTACAGTTGGTTATGAATTAACATTGTAAGTGAGCTGTTAGTATTTGTGGAATTAAAATTCGTCTCATCTCTGGCTTCCACATATCCAATCCCTCAGATACCTTTGGCTGCCCCTGTTGCAAATGGTCCTCGTTTTCTTATACCTGCTTGTATAGCTGCTGCTAAAACTAGGATCTAGTCTTCATACACCAAATACAATAATTTGAAGATATTATGTGATCAGATGCCACACGAACAATAATCTTAACCAGATTTGGGCAAGCGGCAAGTAACATTTACACCACACAAATACAGCGCAAGGACATCTCCAACAGGAAAGAATCTAACCACTGCAATTTGAGGGTGGTGGTGGTGGAGGGTTGCTTTTCAGACTGGAGGCCTGGGACCAGCGGTATGCCACAACGATTGGTGCTGGGTCCATTGCTTTTTGTCATCTTATATAAATTATTTAGATGTGAATGTAGGAGGCACAGTTAGTAAGATTGCAGATGACACCAAAATTGGAGGTTTAGTGGACGGAAAAGATGATCATCTCAGAATACAATAAGATCTTGATCAGATCGGCCAACGAGCCGAAGAGTGGCAGATGGAGTTTAATTTAGATAAATGTGAACTGCTGCATTTTGGAAAGGCAAATCAGGACAGGACCCTTACACTTAATGGTAAACTCCTAGGGAGTGTTGCTGAACAAAGAGACCTTGGAGTGCACGTTCATAGTTCCTTGAAAGTGGAGTCACAGATAGATAGGATAGCGAAGAAGGCATTTGGTATGCTTGCCTTTATTGGTCAGTGCATTGAGTATAGGAGTTGGAAGGTCATGTTGCGGCTGTATAGGACATTGGTTAGGGCACTATTGGAATATTGCGTGCAGTTCTGGCCTCTCTGCTATAGGAGGAATGTTGTGAAACTTGAAAGGGTTCAGAAAAGATTTGAGGATGTTGCCAAGGTCGGAGAGTTTGAGCTTTGGGGGCTGACAGGTGGCCTTTATAAAGGTTTACAAAATCATGATGGGCATGGATAGGGTAAATAGGCAAGGTCTTTTCTTTAGTTTTGGACTCCCCAAACCCAGAGGGCGTAGGTTTAAAGTGAGAGGGGAAAAATTTAAAAAGGGCAACTTTTTCATGCAGAGGGTGGTGCGTTTATGGAATGAGCTGGAAGTGGAGGCTGGTACAATTTCAATATTTAAAAGGCACCTGTATGGGTATATGAACAGGAAGGGTTAAGAGGGATATGGGCCAAATTCTGGCGATTGGGACTAGATTAATTTAGGATATCTGGTCGACATGGATGAGTTGGACCAAAAGGTATGTTTCCATGCTGTACATCTCTAGACTCTGACATTCAAATGTTTTAACGTTGCTGAATCTTCTACTGTCTTTGTAAGGGCTACCATTTACCAGAAACTGAACTGGACCAACCATATGCATACTACACCTACAACAGCAGCTCAGAGGCTCGGAACCCTACAGCAAGTAAGATCATGTGACAGCCCAATGTATTTGCTCCACCATCCGATGAGATTATGGCTGATCTGATAATCTTTAACTCCACTTTCTTGCCTTTTCCCCATAATCCTTGATTCTCTTATTGATTAAAATTCTGTCTATCTTAACGATGAATATACTTAATGACCCAGTGTCAATCTACTTCTACGGTAAAAAATTCCTCAGATTCACTACCCACAGAAGAAGTTTCTCCTCTTCTCTGTCTTAAGTGTGCAAACCTTTATTCTGAGATGCTGCCCTCTGGTCCTAGACACTACCACAATGGGAAACAACCTCTTCACATCTACCCTGTCTCAATATGGTCAAATCTCATTCTAAATTTCCACGAGTACAGACTCAACCTACTCATTGTCGCCCCATAAGACAGCCCCTCCAACCTGGAATCAGCCTATGCACCTTCTCTGAACAGCCTCCAATGCCAGTATATCATTTCCTTAGATAAAGATAGCAGAACTGTTCATGGTATTCCAGGTGTTGTCTGACTAATGCCTTGTATAGTTTTAGCAAGATTTCCCTACTTTTATACTCAATTCTCTTTAAAATAAGGATCAACATTCCATTTGCCTTCCCTATTACTCCCTGAACTCTGACAATTTTTTTGTGATTCATGAACTAGGATCCCTAAGTTCCTTTGTTCCGTAGCTTTCTGCAGTCCTTCTCCATTTAAATAGTATTCAGCTCCTCTATTGTTTCTGCTAAAGTGCATAGCCTCACATTTTCCCACATTATATTTCATCAGCCATGTTCCTACTACTTGCTTATCCTGTTTACATCACCGTCATCCCCACCACTTGCCTTTTCACTTGTTTTTGTGTCACTTGCAAACTTGGTTATAACATATTCACTTTCCTCATTCAAATATATATTGAAAATAATTTGTGGTTCTAGCCATGATCTCTGTGGCACTTGACTAGTTACAGGTTGCCATCCTGAAAATGCCCTCCCTTATTCCAACTGTCCATTAGTTAGACTATCCTCTATCCACACAATATAGAATGTCTAACACCATGGAGGTTTATCCTATCAAGTAGGCTAATGTGTGGTACCTTATCAAATGCCTTCTGAAAATCCAAATATAACATTCAATTCTTCCCCTTTATCTATCCCGCTTATTATCAACTCAACTAGGCATGATTTCCCCTTCATGAAGCCACACTGACTCTGCTTGATCATATTATGTATTTCTAAATGCTCTGCTATTATGTCCTTTACTCTTAACACTTCTCAACAACAAACGTTAAGCTAACCAGCCTATAGTTATTTGTTTTGGTTCTCCTTCCCTAAAAGGTCTTAGTGAAAGTTTTCCTATCCTCTAGGACCTTTTCAGAATTTATGAATCCTTGTAATAATCTTTCAAGTAAATCCTCTATTTCTGTAGCTGCTTCTTTTTAATATGCTAGGATGCATCCCTTCAGATCCAAAGAACTTCATGGTCTTTAATCCACAACAGTTTCTCCATCACTTTTTCTCTCCTGATGGTTATTGTATTTAGTTCCTCTCCTCCTTTTTGTCCCTTGATTATTTAGTAATACTAATATCATTACAGTGTCTTCTACTGAAAACTAATGTAAAATATTTATTGTACTACTCTGCCATTTCCTGGTTCCACATTACTTCCCCAGTCTCATTTTCTAAGGAGACGTTCACTTTGGCTTCGCTTTTCGTTTTAATATACTTAATGAAGCTCTTGCAAGTTTACACTCAAAACTTATTTTCTCCTTCTCTATAATTTTCTCTCACTTCCTTACTCCTCAAAGCTTGTCCATCATCCAAATGGCACATGTCAAGAGTATTATGGAATATTCCCTACTTGCTTGGATGAATGTAGCTTTAAAGCACTCAAGAAGCTCAACACCATCCAGGACAAAGAAGCACATTTGATTGGGACTATATCCACAAACATTCACTCACTCCACCACTGATTCGCAGTATGAAACAATGTGAACCAGCTACAGGATGCACTGCAGAAATTCACCAAGTCTCTTTTGACAGCATCCTCTAAACTACCACCTTGAAAGGAGAATGGCAGCAGATATGTGGGAATACCGGCAATTTCAAGTTTCTCTCCGAGCCTTTTACCATCCTGACTTGGAAATGTAGTGCCTTCCCTTCAGTGTTGTTGGGTCAAAATCCTGGAGTTCCCTCCCTAACAGTGTTGTGGATGTACCTAACAATAGAGATTGCAGATGTTCAAGAATGCAGCTCACCATTACCTTTTCAAGGCAACTAGGTTCGAATGATTAAATATTAGTCCAGCTGGTGACACCCACATCTCTCAAATTAATTAAACTGCAACAACGGAGAGAAAGCCACTGATGATTTGATTGCTGCTAAGGAATCATTGCAATGATATTCTGGCAAAGAATTGATTGGTTGTGGGTGTTAAGTCCATTCTTTGGACCGGGCTGACTTCAACCTCAACTAACTGCTTGGCAACATGGTACAACTTGCTTTTTTGGAGCAGACAGGAAAACATGGAGGCTATCCAATGCAGGCCTCAAATTTTATTTGTTCTTCTCAAAGTTTCAAGTTTTGGCTTAAATATAAAATTTGATCTATTCATGGAAACTGCTGGGAGTGTGTTATAAACGGAAGATTTGGAAGGAACAATCTTTACCAACAGTCTGTTCTAATAATGTACTAATACTCCAAGTCACTGTTCAAAGCCACTAATTAGTTTAAACAAAACTGTAACAAAAATGCCTTGGAGACAAATGGGAAAAGATTTGCAATAAATCCCATATGTTTCAAACAGGAAGAGAAATATTCTTCAAATTCTTAATTTCCTTGCTTTTACATATTGCCAGAATTTAATACTATTGTGCCAGATTTCATAATCCTCCAGTATTTGAACTGAATATCTTTTTTATTCACAATATTAACTTGTACCATTGGAATTGGGACAGTGATTTCTAGATTTAAAATAATTATACTTGCAACTCAAACTATAATTTTAATTTTCAGTTAACTTAGACAAAAAGTTTTGGAATTTAGACTTAAATGGGTATGCGACTCACCTTTGCATCTGCGATCCATGATATTCTTTCCCTTCATCATAGATGCACTTGTGTGTATGGAATCTACATAGTAATACACAGTGCCCTATTCTTTGCAGACAGAAAGAACATGTACATACACTGTGCCTGATTCAAAGTAATAAACTAGGTGACAGCCATTCACTGATTCATTTCTCAGGCTAATACCTTAACCAGTCAATATGCCTGATTTTAAAATTTAAATCAAGCCTGGCAGTTAACAGGCAATCATTAACTGTACTCTCTGTGACAATGCTCTACCAGAGTCCAAGTAATCAGCACTCCCCTTTTATGCAGTATAAATGGTTCCTTTCTGACTCCATTTTGATTTAACCTTCTCCTTCCCTCTCCCTTACTTCTTGGTGCCATTGCTATTGCTTGATGGCATCTGGACGTAAACTGAACAACTGGAAACACATAATTTACTGACGGAGGTTAATAGGTGAAGTTGCCACAGGTGATTTCATGGTGGGAAAAGCTGGTCATGTGTTTGTGACAATACTTCTGGATATAATAAAAATGCTGACTCTCCCCTTGAATTGGTAATCCTACAAATTGTCTTGACCAAATTGTCAAAAACTTTTCATTACCAAAAGAATGTTTAAAAATTGGAGTGGCTGTCTTGACATTAACATGGAATCAAAAGTTGCCAATACTCAGCTAATTTCAATCTTCAATAACTCCACCTTGTTAGATGCAAATTCTAAATCGTTCTGCCCAAAGCTAAAGGCTGGAAAATAAATCATTAACTTCACAAGTACCAGAAAGACCTTAAGTGCAAAACCAAAACCTCAAACTATCTTGCAGAGGTCTGAGAGCCTTCCGTCTTCAATTGATCCCTGGATGCTTGTTGAACATATTTCCCCTATTCTACATGAAGTACATCTCTCTCCTCCTAGACTTATTCTTAAAGAATGCAATTTGTTAGTGTAACTTATGAATGTTATACCGCTTATCTGTTTTAAAGAGAAATTACACTGCAAAAATGTTCCTATTACTAGCATGGAAATGGGAGGTGGGAGGAAGGGGTGGAAGCCACAAAAAGGGTCAAACTTTTCATTGGGCAGATCAAAGAACAGAGAAACAAGTCCCAGAAACAGTTTAATATTCCACAGCACCTTCCAGGGTTCTGCAATTCAACATTCTATCAGAAGGAATTATGTACAAATCTTCCTAGAAATACCAGTAACATGTCCTTCTGAACAACTTTACAGAGCCTCCTGAAAGTTACTTAATCTACCAGTATACCTAACACTATTCATTATTTTTACTAACTCAGCAGCTTGAGACATCCACTCCTAAATGTTTGAAATGTGAGAATTCATCATGGTCTGTTTTCTTGCTAAGTGTGTTACATTCACAAAAGGTTTCATCCATCAGCTTTATACAAAGCTCGTTAAATCAGTACACTTAGTGTTGGAGTTTATACTGTTTTGAATAACTGACTAAGACGATAATTCTCCATAAATACAAGTTTCACTTCTAAAGCAATCACTTCTTATCCATGTTAAGTAAACACTCACCTCTCCAGAATAAGATACAAGTGGAGAAATTTCACATTTGATTGGAACATCTGCTAACTCCTGTAGACTGAAAAGTAAAATATGATTTTCAGCAACTTACTAAAACTCACTCAGCAAATACTAAGTCTTCTTAGAATCTATCACAACAATTCTTGCATAGTCGCGTTTTAACATAAAGCTTCAAAGTCAATATTAACATTAGCCTTTCAATTTTTATTAAAGTGGAAGATGATAACTGGATTAGAATTGTAAACAACCAAATACCCTCATTGAGGTAGCTGGAACTAATTGGTTATTTACAAAGTTTCTTTACATCATCCCATAGTGGTGTCTAATGAGGTGAGAAACAAGCAGTTTTTATTCATTATGGATCACAATCATTCTAAAACCACCATCACATATCCAGTCTGTAAGCAGGACTCTTCAGTAGTTGGATTAAAAGGTCAGAATTGTACGTGGAAGGAACATTTTATGCTGAACATGTTAAAATGCAAAATCAGGTTCTAAATTAAAATAATGGCAAAAAAAAAAGCAGATTCACCTCTGCTGGTGAGTCGGTGCGAACCAGATGGGCCAAATGCCCTATTTCCACATTGTAGAGATTCTAAAAACTGTTTAATAACCCAACCGTTTCTTCATTCAATTGAAGGAAATGCGATAATGTTAGTATATCAATGGGATTTAATTTTATTTCAGTATTTGGACATAATGATTCTTTCAAGATCAACCTTTGTTTTAAAAAGGAAGGTGAAAACCAAAGTGAATTTCGGTGCAATTTGGTTTTCTGGAGAACGAGTGTCTTCCAATTATCTTTTGTCTTCAGTAATCATCAACACTAAAGGAATCAAATTAAAGACCTATAATTTTTAAAGGGAACTTTGACTGATGTATTTGTGGATAGATTCTTTAGAAGAGATAGTACTGCTGATTTAAAAGTCCAAACCAATCACCATTACTCAAATTAACATGCTAAGTAGTGTTCAGGCATGCAAACCTTGTTTAGTGTTAGTATGTGTGTTTTCACCGCCAATCTAATAAGATCAGCATTTACCTGCAACTGCCAATGTCTAAGCCCAGTCGATCCATAAAGAACTACATTATAGAAAAATAGCCATGGACTATTCTTTTAATGGTATAATCTATATTCCATTAACAGACTGTTTTAAAAATTGAATTTTTAAAAGAAAGAATACAGCATGCTAAAAATAATGCATTAAATCCAATGTTTCAGTGGCTTGAAGAGGGGTACACCCCTAAATGAAGTGATAGCAAATAGTAAATCACCAAGCAAAACAAAATAAAAGTGGAAAGGATGGTCAAATTAAGTACAAACAAAAATAATGTCTCCTTGGGTTTTTTGATAACTTGAAAGTCAGTCTGGGTCACAGTGAGGCAAATAGAACTTGATCAGATGTGTGGGCGACTACCCCTCATATACTGTCAAGTACTGACATATTTAATGTATAGCCATAAGGCAGCATGTGTTCTTCGGAAATTAAGGCTTTTCCTACATACTTCTAATACAGAGATAATAAATTTGGACTTGCAAAACAAATTGCATCATACATGATCCAACTATGCCCTTTAACACTATAGTAATAAGATTTTCAGTGGATAATATTATTGTTCATAATAAGGGCCTTAATTAATTATACAAAACATATTGATAGAATCTTGTTTTGTTTTATAAGCATTTACACACTGGCAGTACAAAAAGGCAAGTCTTCCTCTACATTGTTTCCTTTACTTCAGCAAAGCAGCCATGACCCATCACCATGCATTAAACCAAACCCAAGATATTTACTTGTTATTGATCGCTTCTGACATTCCAGTTGTCGAACTGCCACATGGGAAGAAAGAGTGAGTTAATGGGAAAATAAAATGCAACAAAACCACAAAGTTACAAATAAATATGGAAATGAAATAAAATTGATTTAATAAAAAACAACGTTCTACAAAATTATATGAAAGTGAATTTTAATAAACTTCAAAGACCGTAAAAGGGAATAAATAAGAGGCTTGTCTCGGACTTCAAATTTCTCCCCAATATTCCCCAAAAGATTGTGTGTTAAAAGAACTCAAACTGGACTGGCTGGTCTGCTGTCGAAATCACGAGTTACAAAATAGACTCAAATCAAACACTTCATACAGGAGGCATCTCAAATAAATGCAGACATCACAAAGGGATAAGTAACCATTCAATGTGCATTAAACTTTTGTGAAAGATGTTTCCTGAAATATATTACATGGATTTATCAGCAATCATAAACAACATTTTTAATAAAATATATCTTTTGAGGAGAATCAACTCATTATTTTTATCTGATAAGGTTACTTTATAGACATGGGAAAGTGGCATTCAATTTTATTTAAAAGATGGTAAAGGAAACTTCAAAATAAAAATGAATACCAAGAATTCTGTAGCAGATACCATTAGTTTGAGAAATCAGGAACATTCATAAGAGCTCAAAAACTGTGAAAGTCTACCATGGGCTGATACCACATTGCATACATAGGGATTGCTAAACTGAGGTGGGAGAGAAGTCTCACTGGATTTGGGCAACGTACATATATAGCTGTAATTATAAATTTAATTGTGAAGCTGTACAAATTTTAAAGCTAAATTGTAATTGCTTCTGGCTACATTATCAACTGCAGTTACTTTCACACGAATGTAAATCACAAATTAAACAATAGAACGTAACAGCATAAGAACTAGGAGCAAGTGTAGACAATTCAGCCCTTCAAACCTACTCCACCATTCAGTATTGTTTTGCTGACCTCAGCCTCATCTCCACTTTCCTGCTCATTCTCCATTACCCTTCAACCTATTAAAGATCCATCTATCTCCTCCTCAAATTTACTCATTATCCCAGCACCCACTGCAATCTGAGATCAGGATTCCACAGATTCTTGACCCTTTGGAAGAAATTATTTCTGTTCATCAGTTTTAAATCTGCTACCTCATCCTAAGTTGTCACATGAGGTAACATCCTGGCAATCCCCTTTAGCATCTTGTATACCTCAACTAGATCTCCTGTCTTTCTAAATTCCAGGGAGTATCTCTCTTCATGAAAAAAAATCCCTCATCTCTGGAATCAATCTAGTGGACATTTTCTGAACTACCACATACATATAAAACCTAGTTGCAGCTGGATGTATTTGTTAATATTTTAACACTGATAATACGTCTTAAAATCTGTCTTTCCTTATATTATACAACAGTTTTTATTCCGTGTGCTCATGCTTGCAGAGTAAGCTATTGCTGTGCTGTAGCAATCTTATAAGTCTCAACAAGATGCAGGAACAAATAATGCAAGATAGATGATGATGATGATGATGATGATGGACAGCTTCTGAGATGGGTGTGAACAGTTTTTCTGCTGAGCAGTTACAGCAGCCAATCAGATTGGCCCAAGAAGATTTTTGTTGCTTTCTTTCAATTTATAATCATCAGCTGCATTGTGATGTAAATACAAAAGATGATATAGCATGTACTGGAAGTTCTAAAGGTAGAATTTTAGACTTGGGAAATAGAGAGTTTATCTGGATAGTAATCCATCTTTCTACCCAAACGTTTGTACATATTCAGTCACAGGATGTCGTCATCACTTGACGATGGCAACAGCTATTGCTCATTCATCAACTCCCTTGAAAAAAGTGATCATGAACTTTGTTTGAACCACAACACCAAGTATAGAGAAGGTATTCCTAGAGATAGTGTGTTCTAGGAATTTGACCCAGTAATGAAGGTAAAATGATGAGATGTTCCACTGACATACTGACTTGGAGGGAAGATTGGAGGTGACTGTCCTCATATTGATCATGTGTTCTGGTACTTTCAAGTAGAGTAGGTTGTGGGTTTGGGAGTTGCAGAAAGAATCGTAGCAAGTTGCCTCCTGATTCTACTCTGAATTTAAAGGTTTTCTTGAGAACTTTTTAAAAGGGATTCTGGATCTTACAGCAGCAGCAGTTTTACTATATTTAAACCAAATTTCAAAATGGAGGTGGAGGTGATGGTCATTCCATGTGCAAGTTATCTTTAACCTAGGTGGCAGAAGTCACAAGGTTTGGGAAGTGCTACCAAACGAACGTGTGCTTTATCTAGAACTTTTGCTCAAATTATATACCTGGGAATTGCTGGAATCCTTGTTCCATTTTCATCAACAAAGTGTCCACCCGCATTTAGTACCCATCGATGGTGCAGGGACATCAGTGCATGGCGTGCTGTTGTAGGTGTGTCTTTCCCATTCTGACTATCTGCATTCTTCAGTGGAGAAAATTCATCTTCTCGCAAGACTTCAAACACTACAAATTTCCTATGAAAATATACTTTGATTACATTCCTGATACAGAAAACATAAAAATTATCCTTTCACGCGAAAAGTGGTACTACTAAAGTTGATTCTAAATACACTCAAAAGGAAACACAGTTAATGTCTCATGAAAATAGACAAGAATTATACAGTAACAATGGTCCCTAAGAATAGTGAAAACTAACCTTTGTTCCCTTCTGCTAGAATTTGAAACTACTTGATTTGGTACTTATAACACAGTGTGGAGCTGGAGGAACACAGCAGGCCAGGTAGCAGAGGAGAAGGAAAGCTGACGTTTCATCAGAACATAAGAATTCGGAGCAGGAGTAGGCCATTCGGCCCCTTGAGCCTGCCCCTCCATTCAATAAGACCATGGCTGATCTTTTTGAGACTCAGCTCCACTTACCTGCCCACACACCATAACCCTTAACTCCTTTACTGTTCAAAAATTTATCTAGCCTTGCCATAAACGCATTCAGCAAGGTAGCTTCAACTGCTTCACTGGGCAGGAAATTCCACAGGCTCACAACCCTTTGGGTGAAGAAGTTCCTCCTGACCTCAGTCCTACATCTGCTTCCCTTTATTTTGAGGCTATGCCCCCTAGTCCTAGTTTCACCTGCTAGTGGAAACAACCTCCCTGCCTCCACCCTATCTATTCCCTTCATAATCTTGTATGTTTCTATAAGATCTCCCCTCATTCTTCTGAATTCCAATGGGTATAATCCCAGCCTACTCAGTTTCTCCTCATAATTCAACCCTCTCAACTCTGGAATCAACTGAGTGAATCTCCTCTGCACCCCCTCCAGTGCTAGTATATCCCTTCTCAAATAAGGAGACCAAAACTGCAGACAGTACTCCAGGTGTGGCCTCACCAGGACCCTACACAGCTGCAGCATAGCCTCCCTGTTTTCAAACTCCATCCCTCTAGCAATGACAGATAAAATTCCATTTGCCTTTTTAATTACCAGCTGCACCTGCAATCCTACTTTTAGCGATTCATGAACAAGGACACCCAAGTCCCTCTGCACAGCAGCGTGCTGCAATTTTTTACCATTTAAAACATAGTCCATTTTGTTGTTATTCCTACCCAAATGGATGACCTCACACTTATCAACATTGTACTCCATCTGCCAGACCTTGGCCCACTCACTTAGACTATCTATATCCCTCTGCAGACTTTGTGTCTTCTGCACACTTTGCTCTACCACTCATCTTAATGTCATCTGCAAATTTTGACACACTACACTTAGTCCCCAACTCCAAATCATCTATGTAAATTGTAAACAATTACGGTCCCAACACTGATCCCGGAGGCACACCACTAGCCACTGACTGCTAACCAGAAAAACACCCATTTACCCTTACTCTTTGCTTTCTACTAGTCAACCAATCCTCTATCCATGCCAATACATTACCTGTAATACCGTGCAACTTTATCTTATGTAGCAACCTTTGGTGTGGCACCTTGTCAAATATCTTCTGGAAATCCAGATACACTACATCCACAGGTTCCCCATTGTCCACCATGCAAGTAATGTCCTCAAAGAATTCCACCAAATTAGTTGAACATGACCTACCCTTCATGAACCCATGCTGGGTGTTCCCAATGGGAGAATTTGTATCTAGATGCCTTGCTATTTCTTCCTTAATGATAGATTCAAGCATTTTCCCCACTACCAAAGTTAAGCTAACTGGCCTATAGTTACCTGCTTTTTGTCTACTTCCTTTTTTAAACAGTGGCGTCACATTGGCTGTTTTCCAATCTGCGGGAACCACCCCACAGTCCAGTGAATTTTGGTACATAATTACTAGTGCATTTGCTATTTCCCCCATCACCTCTTTTAGTATCCTGGGATGCATTTCATCAGGGCCAGGAGACTTGTCTACCTTTAGCCCCCATTAGCTTGCCCAGCACTGCTTCCTTAGTGATAATGATAGTTTCTAGGTCCTCACCTGCTATAACCTTCTTGCCATCAGGTTTCGGCATGTTATTTGTGTCTTCCACTGTGAAGACCAACACAAAATAACTGTTTAATGCCTCGGCTATTTCCTCATTCCCAGTTATTAAATTGGCCTTCTCATCCTCTAAAGGACCAATGTTTACCTTCGCCACACTTTTACTATTTACATATTTATAGAAACTTTTGCTGTCTGTTTTTATATTTTGAGCTCGTTTACTCTCATAACCTATCTTACTTTTCTTTATAACTTTTTTTGTGGCTTTCACAAAAAAAAAAAGTTTCGGCTCAGGACCCTTCTTCAGAAATGTCAGCTTTTCTGCTCCTCTGATGCTGCCTGGCCTGCTGTGTTCCTCCAGCTCCACACTGTGTTAACTCCGACTCCAGCATTGGCAGTTCTTAATATCTCTCTTGATTTGGTCCTTTCCTCCTTATCTAGAAGGAACTAGTACTCAAAGATTGGGAATACTTAAACATCAGATAAACAAACTGGCTGAGTGAAAAACATTGTGCACTTGCAAATAACAGAGGTTGCAGTGAGCAATTGAACTGAATTATGTGGTACATTTATAGTGAAGTTTATTTCTTTGTTATGGATAAAGAAAATTCTACTGGTCAGTGTAGAAGCCAGCATGACAAATAGAATTAAGCTTAATCAAGGGATGATGGGAAAAAAAAAATCACTCCTTTCAGCAATATGTCCCAAGCAATAAAAGGAACAAATCACCAGAAGTATGGGCATTACTAAACTTTGAAGTGGGGAGAACAATGCAGGCCCCCTCACAAAGTAAAACCTATTTAACCTAGTGCTTAAAACTGTCGAAGAGTGGAATTTAGAAAGTGAATGCTATTCTTTTCCTACGCAAAGTCTAAGTTTTCTATGATTTCTTCTCTTTTGGAAATAAAAATGATGACTTTTTATTGACATAAAATTTGTGCCAAAAGTCTCATTATTTACTACAACAATTTAAAGAAATAGTTTTGGCTTCTCAGGAGTACAAAAAACAAGACTGTATTTCAGGAGTTTGGTGAGCTGACTGCTAAGGAAGCTGAAGCCAAGACCACATCAAGTTGGAAGTTTCAACACTTAGTCTTCATACTGGATACAATAAAACTCTAATTAGACATAAACTTACCTTTATATTATTTTAATTCTGCCAAAGACAGTGTACTGCTCTCCATAACTTCTTGACATTAAAAAGAATCAAATGGAGTGGTAAATCACTCAGAGATAGCAAGAACTGCAGATGCTGAAGTCAGAGACAACACAGTATGGAGCTGGAGGAACACAGCAGGCCAGGCTGCATCAGAGGAGCAGGAAAGTTGATGTTTCGAGTCGGGACCCTTCTTCAGAAGTGGGGAGGGGGAAGGGAGCTCAGAAATAAATAGAGGAGGGGTGGGGCTTGGAAAGGTAGGTGGGATGGTGGTACGTGAGTGCAGGTAGGCTGTGGTGGGGATGTTCATTTCCAAGCCCCCTCCCTCATCCCCGCCTCCTTGACCTGACACAACTTGTCCATCTTCTCTCCCACCTAGCCACCCTATCCTTCCCACTGACTAACCCCCACCACTCACTACCTGCATTCACCTATCAACATCCCACCTACCTTCCCCAGCCCCACCACTCCTTTCTCTATTTATTTCACAGCTCTCTTCCCCCTCCCCATTTCTGAAGAAGGGTCCTGGCCTGAAACATCAACTTTCCTGCTCCTCTGATGCTGCCTGGCCTGCTGTGATCCTCCAGCTCCACATTGTGTTTTGTCTAATGGAGTGGTACCTCACAGCTCCTTTGCAGCTGGCAATGCAACTAGTTGTAAAAAATAAGTTTGTTTCAGAACAAATGAACAGACTGAATAGTGCAAAACTATTAAAAGATGTGATTACAAAGATAACAAAAAAAGCATGAAATAAACAAAAGTTTGAGGATTTTTTTTCAAAAGTTGGTAATAACTGCCATCTAGTGTTGTGACTGTTGAAACATTCAGTTCAAAACTATTTTCCATTCAGCACAAACGAAAAATAAGGGCTCAACCCAGTAGAAACAAGACAAAAATGGCCAAAGTTCCTGAAAGAAAAACTCAGCAATCAGGGTCTCTCGATAATGTTAATGTTGTTTTCCTATCCATAGCAGTCTTACAAATCACATTTCACTCATGCGTATGAATAGTTGGCACTTCCATTTATGTTGAGCGTAAGTGACACAATGAGGTCAGGTATTTATCTTACAGGCTCCCTCTATAGCTGAGAGGTTAAAAGGGCTGACTGGTGTGTTAAACTATACACATCAGGGGAAGCGCCAGGACTGGGCAAGACTCTGCCAGCCATAACTCCATATAATCCAATAGCTGACAATACTAATTTTTCCAGACTTGCAAGTAAAGCATGGCAATCTGGCCAAAATATTGTATCAACCATAATACAGCTGGAGATCCTGCTTACAGGAAGAAAAGAAAAATGTATTGAAACATTTTTTTTCTATAAGAACACTTACTTTGAAAACTGAAAGATGTCAAATACAAATTTCTCCAACTTGATTCCATTAGGGCTGTCTGGTTTGATTTGCTGACCATTTTCATCAATATAAGGAATTTTCTTCCGGGCAACATGGTGTCGCAATTTAGGCTCATAGTCTCTGATAGAAGAAAAGGAAACCAACTCATTTGGTCACTCTAAGTTAAATAATTACACGATATTTTCTGAAAACAATTATATTTTACAGAATAGTCCCAAATGTATTAACATACTTAACAATGTTCTTTAAGAACTGCAGTGTAAAGAAATGATTGCATATGTTCCCTGCGTTGAATGTTAGACGTCCATCAGCATTCCTTCTCTGTGCAGTAACTAGGGTGATTTCACTGTATTCCACAACTTGATACAGGCCATTTACTTTACATACAACACCAACAGCCTCAGTTGGATTTGTCTTTTCTACTACCTGGAAATTAAACAATTTCACAAGAATCCATTATTCAATGCTGCTTCACTTATTCACAACAACAGGCACCTATAATATTTCATAGTTACGGGAAAAAGGATTAATAAACTTCAAAAATTTAGCCAAAGTTGCACAACTACAAAAATTGAACATTCCCTTTTAAAAATCCACACTACTTTCAATTTAAAACATTTATGTAAAGCTTCCAAGCTTATTTTAAAGTTGGCATTTATTTTGGCAACACCACAAAAACATCAAAAATCTTCGACAAAAGATACAAAAGAATGGGATCGAACACAAGTACTCTGCCTGAGTTAAAACAGCCATCTGTACAATCACAGCAGAAAACAGATGATCAAAATGTTTTGAGTTCTTCCACTTTCTGGGTACAATGACATCAGTAGTATTTTTGTAAATTTTCTCCCAATCCCTGTACATACCAAGAAGTGATTCACCCAGTGAAATTGGAGCACTGCAAGGCCTAAAATAGGAGCATTTCATTTATTACACTGTTCCGTGCCCACCTCGTCCATCATGCTGCTGTTTTCCCTCTTAAAAGATGCTCATTAATTCTGTAAGTATGGATTCTATGGTGCCCACAAGATCACAAATACAATTTTGCAGTACAAGCAGGCAGAAAGTATTGGTAAGCAATACTTTCAGCAACCTTAAAAGAAATTTTTACAGCCTATTCATAAAATTGTCTCTTCCACTGCCAGTTTTCTACCATTACATATGACTGTCTCCCAAATCTCATCTACCCACTATTTGTTGGCTGGTTCAACAAGAAATTCAACTAATTATCCAACCCCCAGAACTATCTAGCTGTAGCAGGCTACTTACAGCTCATTAGTGGAACAACAACAAGCATCAGAATCCCCATTGACTCAAGAATGCAAAGTCATGAATGGACAGGCATGCTCCATCAGGCAGTTAAAACCAGCCTTATTAATAAAACAAAGACTATGCAGCTAATAATATTTGATTTTTAAAAGATGCATCCTGCATCAAAAATCGGACCAGTTATTCAATGCAAATACAGTAGAGAGAGCAATATTTACCTTTCATTGAGGAAAAAAAAATCTAGTCTACAAATAATCGAATCTCAAACTAGCATCATAAATCACATCAGGAAACATTTTAAAAATCTGGTGAACAAGCAGGAGGATAATGTTTAAATATCAAAATAAGAAAAAAAACAAAACCGCGAATGCTGGAAATCAGAAACAAAAAACAAATTGCTGCACAGCATCTATGGACAGAAAACAGTTAACGTTTTGGGTTCAGCGGCCATTCTTCAGAACAGTTCTGAAATTTTTGTTTTAAATATCAAAATGGTGGCATCCACAAGTGAGTGCACACTGCCAATGGAGGCTCAGTTATTAAAGTATAGAGAAGAGAGAGATCAATAGATTTCTAGATATTAAAGATGTCAAGGGCTGTGGCATTACTGTAGAAAAATGGTGTTGACATATTTTTTCTAATAGTTAAGACACGGTTTAGAATCACACAGCACAAAAGGACAGCATCCAGCCTATTAATTCAATGCAGTTCTTTGAAAGAGCTACCAAATTAGTCCCAATGTTCTGCTCCTTTCCTCACAAACCTGCAACTTTTACTTCCTCTGCATATGTCCAATTCTTTAGTTAGAAAGTTGAAACTGCATCCGTCAACTTTAGGCTGTGTATCCCAGATTATCATAATATTTCCATTTTAAAAAATTCCTCTCAGCTCCAGTTCTTTGCTAATTTTCTTAAGTTAAACACTCTGGTTACAGTCAGTAGAAATAATTCGTCCTCAACCTCCGTTTTTAAGGAGGACAATGCAAGTTCTCTAATCTTTCATCATAAAGTCTCCATTCTTGATAGCATTCTGATAAATCTCCTCCGCATCCTCTTGAGCTCCCAGCTCTCATTGCTGCGAGATCTTTTATATCCACCCAAAACAGCAAACATCACAGCTCAGCAAGTTAGAAACTGGATTGTAATGGTAGCTTCAGTGTCAGAAGAATACTAATAAAATACACATACCTTGGCTCCACAATCAGCTTGCTGCTTAACACAGAAACCAATGAAGGTTGGATCAGCAACTTTAACAAGAATATTGTCCACACAGTACACATGAATAAAACTAATGCCTCGCTTTTCCATATCCTCCACAATCTTCTGATTTCGAAGTGCTCGATAAAGGCCTCCATTCCCATCTATAAGAACAGAATACTTTATATATGTCAGTTCCTGGAATGTATATAGTACAATGGCAAGCTTTAAATTCTATACATCTTGAACTTGAAAATTGGTAAAATGTCCAAAAATCGGCAAAGACAACAATAATTTTACAAATCAACAAACAGAACAAAATTGCTGCAGAATGGCTGGCAAGCAAGACTACAGTGCCACTCAATGACTGCTGGTGGCGTTGCAAGAACATGCAGTTCTAGAAACCGAGTTGAAGGCAGTGATTCAAGAGGACCACAAGTTTTTTTAATATACTCATTCATCCGCAAATGTGGACATCACTGGTTATTGTCCATCGTCAATTGCCCTTACAAAGTAATGGAGTACAACTATCTTGAACTGCTGTAGTCCATGTAGTGTAGGTTCACCCACAGTGCTGTTCGGAAGGAATTTCCAGGGATGGCAATACCTGTATAGAGTCATAGAGATATACAGCATGGAAACAGATCCTTTAGTTCAACTCATCCATGCCAACCAGATATCCTAAGTAAATCTAGACCCATTTGCCAGCATTTGGCCTATATCTCTCTAAACTCTTCCTATTCATGTACCCATCCTGATGCCTTTTAAATGTTGTAAACCACCACTTCCTCTGGCAGCTCATGCAATATCCTCTGCGTGGAAAAGTTGCCACTCAGGTCCCTTTTAAATCTTTCCCCTCTACCTTAAACCTATGCCCTCTAGTTTTGGACTCCCCTACACCAGGGGAAAAAAAAAAACTTTGTCTATTTACCCCATCCATGCCCTTCATGATTTTATAAACCTCTATAAAGGTCACCCCTCAGCCTCCAAAGCTCCAGGGAAAATAGCCCCAATCTATTCAGCCTCTCCCTAAAGCTCAAACCCTCCGACCCTGGCAACATCCTTGTAAATCTTTTCTGAACCCTTTCAAGTTTCACAACATCCTTCCTATATTCAGGGCGATCAGAATTGCTGCAGTATTCCAATACTGGCCTAACCAATGTCCTGTACATCTGCAACATGACCTCTCAACTCCTATACTCAATGCACTGACAAATAAAGGCAAGCATGCCAAACGCCTTCTTCATTATCCTATTCACCTGCGACTCCACTGTCAAGGAACTATGAACCTGCACTCCAAGGTCTCTTTGTTCAGCAACACACCCCAGGATCTTACCATTAAGTGTATAAGTTCTGCCCTGATTTGCCTTTCCAAAATGCAGCACATCAGATTTATCTAAATTAAACTCCATCTGCCACTCCTCGGGCCATTGGCCCATCTGATCAAGATCCCTTTGTACTCTGGAGATAACTTTCTTTTCCGACCGCTACACCTCCAATTTTGGTATCATCTGCAAATGTACCAGCCATACCTCCTACATTCACATCCAAATCATTTATATAAATGATGAAAAGCATTGGACCCAACACTGATCCTTGTGGCACACCACTGGTCACAGGCCTCCACCACCACCCTCTGTCTTCTACCTTCAAGCCAGTTCTGTATCCAAGTAGCTGGCTCTCTCTCTATTCCGTGTGAACTAACCTTGCTAACCAGTCTACCACGAGGAATCTTGTCGAACGCCTTACTAAAGTCCGTAAATATCACATCCACCAGTCTGCCATCATCAATCCTCTTTGTTACTTCTTCAAAAAACTCAATCAAGTTCGTGACACATGATCTCCCACAGACAAAGCCATGTTGACTATCCTTAGAGACAGCAAGGACTGCAGATGCTAGAAGCTAGAGTCAATAAATATGAGGCTAGAAAAACACAGCAGGTCCGACAGCGTCCAAGGAGCAGGAAAGTTAATGTTTCAGGCCAAAATCCTTCGTCAGGACTTGGATCTTGCCTTTCCAAATACATGTAAATTCCGTCCCTCAGGATTCCCTCCAACAACTTGCCCACCACCGATGTCAGGCTCATCACTCTATAGTTCCCTGGATTTTCCTTACCACCTTTCTTAGAGAGTGGCACCACGTTAGCCAACCTCCAGTCTTTCAGCATCTGATCTGTGGCTATCGATGATACAAATATCTCAGCAAAGGGCCAAGCAATTTCTTCCCTAGCTTCACATTGAGTTGTAGGGTATACCTGATCAGGTCCTGGGAATTTATCCAACTTTATGCATTTAAAGATGTCCAGCAGCACCTCCTCTGTAACATTGAAATTTTACAGATGTTGCTATTTATTTCCCCACATTCTCTATCTTCCATATCCTGCTCCACAGGAAACACTGATGCAAAATACTTGTTTACTCTCTCCCCCAACTCCTGCAGTTCCACACATAGGTGGCTTGCTGATCTTTAAGGGGGACCAATTCTCTTCCTAGTTACCCTTTTGTCCTTAATGTATTTGTAGAATCCCTTTGGATTCTCCTTAACCCTATTTGTCAAAGCTATCTCACGTCTCCTTTATAGTCCCAGCTCAGGGTGGCCTGGGACTTGGAGAAGAACTTGTAGATTTGAAAACTGCTGTGGAAAGAGCCTGGTACATGGTACAAGCTGGTGCCACTGTGCACCTGTGGTGGAGAGTGAATGTTTGACATGGGGGTGCCAATCGAGTGGGTGCTACTTGGTCTTGAATAGTTTTATGGTTCCCGAGTGTTGGCGGAGTCACGCTCAACTAGGTAAGAGGTCAGCCATGATCCTAATGAATAATGGAGCAGGTTTAAAAGGTCCAAATGGCTTATTCCTGCTCCTATTTTCAATGTTTCTATGACAACATTCTACTACACTTCTGACTTTTGCCTTGGAAACAGTCGATAAACTTCAGCAAGTTGGAGGCAAGTTACATGCTATAGAATTCCCAATCTCTGATGTGATCTTTGTTTAACTAGATCGTCCAGTCAAGTTGCTGTTCGGTAGTAAACCCCAGGATGTTTGTACTAGGGAATTTAGTGATGGTAATATTATTGAACATCAAGAGTAGACTGTTAATTCTTTCATGTTGAAGATGCTCATTGCTTGCCACTAGTATGGTACAAATGTTGCCACAGGTAAGAGAAGAAGCAAGTCAAAACAGACAGGCCTATGATTGCCTGTAAATGCAAAGGTAATGAAGAAGGGCCGACAACTCCCTGTCGATCGCGTTCCAAGATGCAGACACATTTTGCGTTTTTCTCTTTGAAGAATACACAAACACAGGGGTTTAAAAAGCCAGTTTCAATTCTACTGGAGTGCGATAGTGGGAATTAGGTTCTGCGGCCAGTGGGCTAAGATACCCGTGTGTACTTGCCTGGGTTTCAGCAATGACATGCTATGAAGGTTGAAGTCTATCCCCCAGTAGCCCCCGTGTTGCAGTTAAAGGGACTGAGTGCTAGAAGCTGGCTAGCTAACTCGCAAGCCTGCCAACAAGGAAACAAAACACCAAAATAATTCTGAGATAACAAGGTGTGGAACTGAATGAAGACAGCAGGCCGGACAGCATCAGAAGAGCAGGAAAGCCAAACCCGAAACGTCAGCTTTCCTGCTCCTCTGACGCTGCCTGGCCTGCTGTGTTCATCCAGCTCTACACCTTGTTATCTCAGATTCTCCAGCATCGGCAGTTCCTACTATCTCTCACCAAAATATTTCTCTTGTACCCAGAATCCTGGAATTCAATTACAGTCGAAAGGATTCGAGACCACAGAATCTCAACAACCTGCAAAACTTTCAACGTCAACACTACCATTAACCTCAAAAACTTTCAAAACCTTAGTTCATATAGGTACAGGAGAAAGATATCCTCAAGGGAAGGGATCCATCTTAAAATTAAATGTTGTTGTGACCAACTGAAGTGGTGGTTGAATAAAGAAAGGGAGCAATTCACCACTCCTCACCCGGGAACTCAATGATTTGGGGTATTCCATCTGAAACCATCATAATTTTGGGAATGCTCTCTGGGATCTGAACAACTCCTTAGATACACAAATGGCATAAATGGTGGTTACCATTGTGCAATCATCAGCAAACATCCTTACTTCTGACCAAATGATGGAAGGAGAGTCATTGATGCAGGAGCAGCAGATATTTGGGCCTAGAATGCTTCCCTGAGGAACTCCTGCAGTGATGTCCCAGGGCTGAGATGATTTGACGTCTGACAATCACAGCCATCTTCTTTAGCCTAACTCCAATCAGTTGAGGCATTTCTTCCAGATTCTCATCAAATTCACTTTTGCTAGAGCTCCTTGGTGCCACTCAATGAAATGCTGCCCTGATGTCAAGGGCAGTAACTCAGACCTCACATTTGGAGTTCAGCATTTTTAACCATGTTTAGAGCAAGGCTTAATTAAGTCAGGTGCTGAATTGGCCCTGGCAGAATCCAAATTAATCATCAATGAGACTACTGATGATTCCTTCCATGACGTTTACTGATGGTCAAATGCAGACTGACAGCAAACTCATTCGCCAAATACTGCCCTGAGCATTATAATATCAATTGCAATAAAGTTCCCAACATCTCATATTATTGTGAAAATATGGTTCTTTTTCTCAAAATGTTACAGCAAACAATTCAAAAACATTTAAGTTTACAAATCTTTACTATAGATAACATTGTCATAATGGGATTAGCTGTACAGTAATACTCTATATCTTGAACAAACTTCAAAATACAATCATATGATCTAGCGTTTTTTAAAAGGCATTTCCATAACTCGTCTTGCAGAGTTGCAAGTAGATGGAACTAAAGCAGATGGATTTCAACTTGGGGATGAGAGGTCATTTTCTTCAGAACTAAGACAACCAAATTAAAATAATTTCTTAAACAGTAAGAAATTAGGATCCATAGATCTGTAAAGGGATTTAGTTGTCCATGCACACAAGTCATTAAAAGCTCATGCAACTGTACAAAACAATCAAAAGGAATACCAAAGTAAGGAAATGTCTCAGCTGGGTTAAATTTCAAGTATTTAACAAAGGTACTAATGTTAAGAAAGGATTTATTGGCCTCGGAAGGCAACAACATAAATTTACCTGGTAAAAATTGTTAATCTGAAGAAAGCTCACTAAAACCTGGTTCATATTCATTTGAGCTTAGCAGGATAAGGAGTGATCAAATTTAAGCCTACATTGAGGTTTGAAATGACAATGGATTCAGTAGGTTAGACGAACAGGCACTATTTTTTCAGGTGATGAAATCCAGAATGAATGGACATGACCATAAATTAAAATTTAAACCAAACAAAATGAGGAATGTTCATTCTATAACAATCCTCTCGCTGTTCTTCTTCCCAGGCTCCCCGGCTAAAACCCTATAACATTTCTAATTTTTAAAAATTCTGATGTGAGGTCATAGACCAAAAATAGGCCTGCAGAATGTTTTCAGCATTTTCCATTATCATTTCAAAATGGGAAGTACGTTTTCACCATCACCATTCCACCACTCTCCCCACAAAAATTTCCCCAGAAATAAATTGAAATTCGAGGCTTGCACTTCTCAAACTCTGTGGTTGGTAAGTCCACCAGAGTTTTAAACTTGAAGATTTGCATTAGGTAAGATTATCAAAGCTTATGGAGTAAAGGCAGATAAATAATCCGAGGAATAGATTAGTTACAATCTAATTGAATAGTCTACTTGGTGTACCTATTTATTTTCTTGAACAATTTTAGAAGAAATATGTTTTTTTGGTGGAAATGAATGATCAATTATTAGTTTTTCTAATAGAAAACAAATTAAAAACTGCCATTAGTAATATCTTTGAATTGTCATAAAGTTGCTCAACATCTAATTACAATATTGTTAAAGACGAACAACATTAGCAAGGAAACATCTGAATTCACTTTGGACCAGGGGAGAACACAGCTATAATAAGGCATTCTTTCATAATCTATATCCAATCTGCTTGTTGTAATATCAAATTGACATTTCCACAATTTGCCCAAAATTTTCACCAACCTGGCGCCAGTGAAATTTTGCTTTTTCCTTCAAGGATAGCTTTCCCATCAAAAGCCATAGCTGGCAACATTCCCTGTTGGAAAAATATGACATTTCCTTCCTGTAAACCAAAGTAGCCATTCAGATTGAAAAATTCTTTTGTAGATTCCATTGTCCGACTACTAGTCATGATATACCTGTGATTGGAAAAAAAGGCACATTATACTTTTTAAAATTCCACATCTAATCTGTTGGTGCTGTTAAAAAACATTTTTATAATTTTAAAATTATACAGAAATATGACCAAGGGCAGGAGCATAATACAGTATTGATTTGAAAATAAGAGGAATCAAAAAATATTATTTGATGATTCGAACACAAAATGCTCTTACACAGAATCATGAAGTCATGCCATTAAGTATGAAATTTCAAGTTGAGAGGAAGAAAGTGGTACATTGAGGTATCTTTCACAAAAGCATTGTGTTTTTAAATTTGGTACAGAACAATAAAAAGACTTGAACCATAAGATATAGGATCAGAATTAGGCCATTTGGCCTATTGAGTTTGCTCTGCCATTCAATCATGGCTATATTTCTCAACCCCATTCTCCGGCCTTCTATCCATAATGCTTGACGCCCTTACTAATCAAAAACCTATCTTAAATACGCTCAATGACTTGGCCTCTACAGCCTTCTGTGTCATTGAATTCCACAACTCACTACTCTCTGGCTGAAGAAATTCCTCATCTCAGTTCTCAACTGTCATCCCTTCACTGAGGTTGTGCCTTCAGGTCTTAACCTCTTCTAATAATGCAAACATCTGTCCATGTCCACACTCTCAGGTCTCTCAGCATTCTCTAAGTTTCAATCAGATCCCTCTTATCCTTCTGAATGCCAAGTACATACCATGAGTCCTCAACTGCTCTTCATGACAAGCCCTTCATCCCTGGAATCATTCTTGTAAACCTCCTCTGGACCCCATCCAAGGCCAGTATTTCATTCCTTAGATTAGGGGCCCAAAACTGCTCACAATATTCCAAATGCAGTTTGACCATAGCCTTACAAAGCCTCAACAGTACATCCCTGCTCTTATATTCTAGCCCTCTTGAAATGAATACAATCATTGCATTTGGCTTCCTAATTTGGCTGCCAAATGAACCTGCATGTTAACCTTAAGAGAATCCTGAACTAGTGCTCGAGTCCCTTTGTGCTTCAGATTTCCGAAGTCTTTCCCCATCAAGAATATAGTCTACACCCCTATTCTTCCCAAAGTGTATAACCTCATACTTTCCCACATGTGGACAGAAAAGTTTCTGCAGAAGTTGCTAGAATATATTTTTAGCTTCAGAATAAAATTAATTGACTTTTAACAACTCGCCAAACCTTCTTCAATAGAAACTTCCAACACAGACTGGATTTTACAACCACATGCTTGTGGTTACAGGGGTGGTGTTGGAATGGGAAAGAAGATGGGTGGCTAGCTCACCATTTCTTACTCATCTTGTTTCTCATAACAATAAAAATTTCAAAAAAAAGACAATTAACAGGCATTGACAAGCTAATTGATCTGAGCACTACACTGTCCATACCACAGTATGATTGAGATGACAGGATGGGCTGTATTTCTAACCATTTGAATGTTTAAAGGCTGTTCGATGGTGGTTACATTCTGGGGGAATGCCATAACATGGGTCAGCTAATGTCCAATAATTCATCTGCTAGTTAGGCAGTGGATGGTGGGGATGGTCAGCTACGCAAGCCTTTGATGATATCCTACGATAAAACTGAAGATGGATCACTGCTTGATCTTGCAGTAAGCCATTTACAGTGAACATCAAATGACCCTCTGAGACACAGGGAACAAGCACTGTGCAGTCTCAAAAACAGAAGCCAAAAAATATCTGGAGTAAAAAAAAAGGACTGGAGCAAAAAAATCCCCAAAATGGGAGTTAGATTTTTTTTCTAATCCAGTATCATTCTCACATTAACATACACTTTGTTGTTCCATAATATCCACAGTAATTATATTTACTATGTAATCCTGAATTAAAACAATGAATTAATTCTTAAACTGATCATTCTGAATCATTCACACTTCAAATAAACAAGAAGTTGAGACTTATTCTCATGTAAACCTTCTCAAAGCTCTGCAAGGGTTCCACATATTCCTTTTCCCTGCCTCCCTAACTTTGGACATACAGTTGCTGTTTCTATATTCAGCACACAAGAGAGGTACTGCTAAAGCAACATTGTAACAAGCAAAACACTGACTAGATCAATTTAAACCATGACAAACTCAATTCAATCTACATCCACTTTGTAAGAGATTATTTTAATTGTGCAGCTGCAAGGAATACACCATTAGTTCAAAATTTCATCTCTGCACTTAAACTAACATACTGGAGTTAAAATTCTAAAGTGGGTTGACACACTTACCATGGAATAGTGCATCTGTGCCCAAACTGCTCTGACGCCAAATGCTGAAGTTTCAGAATACGTTCAGCTTGAATCTGAAAGAGCGTTTTCCTCGATAGCAAACCAACGTTGTACATTCCTTTAGGATAGGTTACTCCAAGACGTGTTCCCTGTCCACCAGCTAAAAGTAAAACTGCTACTTTGTTCTTAGAGATTTGAAGAAGACCTGAGGAAAAGAGATTAGAAAATAAATAGTGACTATTTCTTCTTTTCCCTGTAGACATATACTGACCATTGTTTCAAGCAAACTCTACAGAAATAAGTGCTGATACTTAACAAAAATAACCCAGAATATGAAAGATGGACATCAAACTGGCAAAAGAACAATTTTTGAAATATATAAAACAAAAATTTATTTAATCAACCTGTTCAGATGTGATACGACATTTCTGAAGCAGATGGAATTTGAATTCAGGTATTCTGATTCAGAGGTAGGGACACTACCACCGTACCACAAAAGCCCTAAATTTCTGTTGAATTGTTAGGAGTAAAACTGAAACACTGTGTGCTTATGTTTCAATGAGAGATCACCTCATGATCTATCAATCCAGATTTCAGACTGGGATTTGACTCATTCAGTCATAACATCACATGGGATCATAACAGCCCTTACAAAAGGTAACAAACCCGATCGAATGTGTGCTGCACTCTAAGAATTAGATCAACCAGTTTTAATGCAAATATGCTTCATTAACCAGTTAATCTTTCTTTGTATCAGTGGCTGCAGTTAATTAAGAATTTGACTGAAGACATTAAATCGTTATCTCCACAGATATTGTCATTCCTGATGAGTATTTCCAGCACTGTGTTTTCAGTGTTGGTTTCTGTGTTGCAGGGGTGTAAGTGTCATTCAGTACAAAGTCAATTTGCTCGTACAGTAAGAATCCAGGGTTGATTAATGGAGCTTGGCCGGTGTTCTTGACTTCTTCTGTTTGGTTGTGCTTGGATTACTAGTGTAAAAACATTTCCTTACACTTCCTGGTGGTATATTTAATGCATCCTCTTCACCCACCAGAAAAGTTACCAATTTTGAAAGACCTAAATAGAACCAGAGGCTAAAAGTATATAGTTGATCAAATCAAGAAAAGTAGCATAAGTGACTCCAACAGCAGCAAACAGATGCTATCTTAACCAGCAAATAAACCACCTTACAAAAATTATAAAAATGTAATGTTGTAGATATTTAGTATTTTCCAGCTTGAACTTAGTACATAAAGAAAAACTTCACTGTACTTCACTAGTATTTGAACAAAGCTACGACATTTAATATTCCTGGAAAATTCAGACATATTTCAACAAGAAACAAGACTTGTAGGAAATAATTTTTCTTACAGTATTAGCTGTTTCCAGTGAAGTTTTTTCCAGAGACCATTCCTTTTTTCAGTGCAATTGCTTTGGATTTATTTTTTCATTGGGACTATTTACTGATAGGCAGTGATGTAGTGGTCATGTCACTGGACTGGTAATCTGGAGACCCAGGTTAATAGGGACACAGGTTCAAATCTCACTACAAGCTGGAATTTGTATTCAATCAACAACACTGGATTTGAAAACTGATCTTGGTAATGGTCACCACAAAACTCATTGATTGGTGTAAAAAACCCATCTGGCTTACTAATGTTCTTCAGGAAGGAAAATCTGCTATATTTATCAGATTCATTTAAACCCATAATAGTGTGGTTGATTCCTAACTGCCTTCTAAAATGGTGTGGCGAAGAAAATTAGAGATGGATAACACATGCAGGCTTTAACAGTGATTCCCACATCCCATGAAAGAATAAAGAAAATTTCATAAATAGCAGCTACATTCCAACTTAAGGGGAGGAAAATAGTACTAGTTTGTGTTATATCTATATTTTTCAAATTATCATTCACATGCAAGAAATTTTCATCACTACTAAATAAAGCCTATGTAAATTATTGAGCTTGATCACTATACAACTTTGGAACTGTTAGTAATTTTATTGCTTTATATTTGTGAGGACTTAAAATAAATGTGAATGAAAACAGAAGCCACACCAAATCATTCCTTTTCTTTAAGGTTTCGCTGCACCAATTTCCACACTTATAAACAGACCTTAAGTCAGCAAGTTGCCAAAATATACAGGCACTCCAGTTGCTGTCCCCCTCCATACAGCTCCTTCAGTAGCCATTACAAAGATTGTGACCCTACATTAAACTGTGGTGGATAAAATGTATCATAGAATTTTGATTTAAATCCGATTTTCAGGCTGAAGCTTTAATTTTAATCATCATGAATAATTTATTTAAAGCTAACAGCCAACTTAAGTCAAAAACTTACAGCAATGCTATCCCCAGCATAATCTTAGACTTTTAGAATTATAGTTTGGAGAATGGGTGGAAGAATTAACTACATATAATGCTTCAACTTGTAATATCAAAATAGTTATCTCTTGTTATTGTGTAAATCAGCCAGCAATTTAAGGGGTAATTGCAAATTTATGGGCAATTAGTGTCAATCTGGTGTGAACTTCACGGAAACCACAGTTCACCCTCAATCACCTTTTGGATTTCAATAAATTAATTTATTTGCACATCAATTGCTAATTAGACCCTGAAGAAAGTTAAGATCAATTTTAGCAACACGAGACATTTTTATAAAATGAGATTTAAGTTCTTGTAAACTGTGGGGCCTCAGAAGATTGCTAAATCTTAAAAACATTTTCCGTTTTTCTCTTTTTTCCATTAGTCCAATGTCTCCCCGGACTACTTCTCCTTCTGTGTTGGATCAAACTCTATTTCACACATTTTCCTTCTCTGTTGTTTCCGTTTCTTTCTTGATTCTTAAATCTGATTGATTAAGCTGCTTCCCTCATTTACCAAGACCCTAAATGTTTTGTAATCTTCACTGGGACAGAATGTACTTCTAGCAACTTTTAGAGGGAAAAAAAGCTGAAGGTGGGAGGGTGAAACAAGTAGGGCATACCAAATCCTGATTCATTATAAAAGTGTTATTTACACTAAATGCTTCCCTGACAGAAATAAAATTAACATTGAATCAGTTGAAAATCTTGCCAGACTGAATGACTTAAGAATTCCTCTATCCCCCAGCGATATTCCTTACCATCACCACCCAAAGTTTAAATAATGACATCCATTCACTTCTCAAACATAATAGGCTTCTGGTAAAGGTAGAGCTCAAATGAAGCATAACCATCTACACAAGTCTGCATTCAAACGTTCCAATGAGAATTTTATTCTAAGATTTCAGCCTGAATTATGGCATAAAAATCAAAAGGAACTCATGCAATATCACCATCTCTTCTCAATACATGAAGGCATGCCTGTTGGAAGCTTCTTGAAGTTAATAAATATTTTCTATTACATGCACATTAAAATAATGAATACATTCTTAAACTAGGGATGAAATGAATGACAACTTTGTCCCGTAAGCATGTACCCATTGGGAATGAACATTTACTGAAAAAATACTTTAACTGACAGGGAAAGGAGAGTTTTGCCATGATGTCTGGATTGGATCTTGACCAAGAACTTGCTTCATGAATGAATGACTCATCAGTACATGGCCAGTCTCCAATTTACTTACAAATACCTACCCTTTTAGGAGATGCTGTTAACTTTAATCTATAATAAATACGTGGCAAGCTGGAATCATCTACCCACATAAATTATTTGTGATTAATTTAGAAAAAATGCTGTGAAGGTGGTCACAGATATTGTTGGAAACAAAGGATAGTTAATTGTGTATTTCTAACTCATGTTTGAAAATCATTTCAACATTTATACACTAATCTCTCATTTGGAAGCTTTTGCAAATCAACCCTGCTCTCAATTGAGACACAAATAACATAGCGTCGTCTAACATTTTACGCAGCTCTTGGGAAATCTATTTTCTACAGCAGTTAGAATGTTTAGTACTAATATGTCATATCACATTCCCTTCTGGTCATTGCTTGGGTACCTCCTAAGCAAAGCAGCTTAAAATGGCTAAGGTTACTTGAGGAATAGCCCATGTAGTTCAGCTCTTTTTATCAGGTAAATTTAATATAACCTATTTGTCCGGAAACTTACAAGGTTAGATTTGATAATAGTTTCTCTCTCTGCCTCTCCCTTAAAATTGATTGTGTTTTATATAAATGTGATGAACTATATTCAATATAGATCAATAAATGATTGAATTAAAGAAGGCCTGGCATGTGACAAAAATAGCAGCATTGTTGTTACTGTATTATAAACATAGAAAGGGTGGGTGGGTTGGGGGGGGGGGGGAAACGATTCAACAGACCTGTTCTGCCATTCAAAGATATTGACTCATTTAACCTTTGTTTCTCAGCAACTGATTCATAATTTTATTAGGTTGCCCAATCTGTCTCAAAAATGTCAACTGACCCACATCTTTTGAGAAAGAATATTCCAAATTTAGTTTACTTGAAAAGAAGGTTTCCTGATTTCATGTGGTAAGCACTTTGCTCCCATATAAAAATATTATGCTTTCTTGTTCTGGATTACAACCCCACTTCCGACTAGAGGTAACAATGTACCTACCCTATCAGATCCCTTTCTCCGTTTAAAAAAACCCTGATCATATCACAACTCAATTAACATTCTTGGAGGCCTGGATGTGTTTCCAAGATGTTCTAAAAACAAATGGTCCTTCCAATGAGTCATTTAAGGTCACATGGGATTAACACCTGAAGTAAAATTTTTGGTTCAACGTGTGTATGAATTTAAAAAGTGAAAAACTAGCTTTTTATTGCTTATGAAAGAAACATCCTCTTCTCTAACAAGACCTTTATTATTAGCTTTGATTTTTCTTTGTTCTAGATCCCGGAATGCTGGAGTCTATATTGCTTTGCCAGTTTTCCATTTCTACCAGGTTCAGCTTCACCTGCTTGACCGTACTTCTCTCAAAACTACAAATGTGCATGAACTTTCTGTATTTGTAAACTGAAAAGTGAGTAATGTGATATTTAGTTTTAATTAAAATTTTATTTTTTGCTGCAAGCGCACCATAGCTCTTACAATTTAGAAAATGAATGGGTAACTACTTGAATAAACAGTTACAGCTACTTAACTTAAAAGCTACTGACTTGAAAATGGAGAAACAGAAACGCACTACAGCGATTTTAATTCTGAGGAAGGGTCACCAGACCCGAAACGTTAACTCTGATTTTTTTCTTCACA